ATTGATTTTATGGAGGAAAGGCCTTTCAAATATGACATTGTATGCTAAATTTATTTCTATAACCTTGAACATGGGATGTATTGTTACACTTCGAGAGGAGACACTTATGGTCACTCGAACTTAGATTGTGTTAGTGTAGGTGCCCAAGATCCAACCATGTTTGGATAGGTTGAGTTATTATATCATTACATTATTTATTTTATCAATAATAAAAGAAATCTTTCTATTAATTCTTATTTGTTTATATTTATTTATTAAATAGAATTAGATAAAATTTCATAAGATATGCATTTGTATTAATAATTGATCAAAAGATATGAGATAATCATTAATACACTTAAATGATATCATTAAATATCCCAAGTCATAGCATTTTCAAGAATGGATATTGACTATATGTGATTAGACTTGTGAGTGCTATGCTTATATTATAAGATAGTAATAAGAGATCTCACACGTATTAGCACGGTGATGCCAAAAAAAACATTTAGGTGATTTATGTTAGAGAACATATCACCTGGACTTAACTCATCATGAGAACCCATTTGGTTTAGTCTATGAGAATCTCATATGAGATATGTATAATTGGTCCTTTGATTTGAAGTCATTACGATTATCTCATTAGAGGATTTATGTATTTTGACACTCATTTCGATAGACCTAATAAAGGGTTGCACGTGAGTGATTTATTGGGTACATTAGAAATCTAATAGAGGTAGGTAGATGACTAAGATAAAATATATCATTCCTTGTATGCTAAAGGAGTAATCACATTGCATTTCGATATATGTCCGCTCGGAAAATATGTGGCCACAGTAAGAGTACACTAATAAAGCATAGTTTGTTTACTCTAAGAGCTAAGACATTTAGGAATCGAAGAAAACTTATGTAATCATAATCAAACGGACTAAATAACCAAGTTTGAGATCACAATATGACAAATTAACATGAGGACTAAATTGTATGGTAACCATACTTGTGAAAGGTAATTACGGATTAATTAATTCTTTTACGGAATTAGATAGTCATGATGTCTTACTAGATGCCAATATTGACTTATATATCAAGAGATAAAATAGGTGTATTTTATTCTTGATATATTTTCAATATATTTAGAAACTTATTGAGTCACATGCATAAGTTTAAGCATTCACATAATAAAATAGAAGCAAAGATGTTGGAAAAAGTTTTCAATTTTGAAAGTTTCCTATAACGAAAAGTTTTCTATTTTAGAAACAAGTTTCCTTAAAAGCTAGTTCCAAATTTGAAAGTAAGTTACCTAAAAAGGAAATTAGTTTCCTAATTTAGGTTTAAGAGTAATTTGGAAAATTATTTTCTAATGTGGGCTTTCTAAAAATATCTAACCTAATTTATTTAGATAGTCTAAATTAATTAATTGAGCCAAAATGGTTTGGATAGGGATAAACATGAACCTTATTTGATAAGAATGAATATTTTAAAGGATAAACTGAAAAAAAATGCCCACATGCATAATAACTCATAATCCTTGGAGGATTAGAAAGCAACAACCTAGAGTCCACATAAGATAAGTTGTTGCTTCTTTCTTATCCTTGGAGGATAAAAAGTCTTTCTCCCTATAAATAGAAGAAGAGGTGCGGCAAAAGAAAAAAAATAAATTAGGGCTACATGACAAAAGCTAAAACGAGAAGAAAAATAGTTTTCCTTTTAAATTAGGGTTATCGTAAAATATCCCTAAATAGATTTCTAAAGGAAAAAAACACTAAGCAAGTAAGAAAAAGTGAAGCTAGCACTCTATCAATTTTGAGTGCTTTAAGAAAAAGTGAAGCTAGCACTCTATCAATTTTGAGTGCTTTTTGTATGGATGCTTGGATTACATCGATTATCAATAAAGTTTAGACGCTTGGAAGACTCCTTTTCTTCACGGGTTTAATTCCGCACTACGAGAGGTAGTCCTTTATTTTTGCTTTAATTTATACATATATGATTAGTTGATTCAATGACATGATTTTGAAAACTTTAGATGGAGAATTTTTTTTTATTCCACACCTCTATAGGATGCATGATCCTTTAGATTGCATTCTCTATTAGAACTTGTCATCCTTCTATCCTTCTTCAAAGGTGTTTCAAATGGTTGGAGTTTTAAAGGGTTTTTTTTTCATTAAGTCGGGTTTTTTTGACAAAACATTAATGACATTATCGAAGTTGACCAAATACGATGGACTTTATGGTTGAAGACCATCATTGAAATTACCATAACATTATTATGAGGGAAAGACTATTTTTTTTTTTTTTCGCATTTGCATTTGCACGGGTAAAGGTAATGGGGTCGTACTAAGATGTAAGGCTCTTTGTTATGGCAAGGACCGAAAGAGTTCCCCTCTTTTTTTAATAGATCTTTCTTGATAAGTAATCTGCTTAAAATCATATTGATTTAAGGATAGTCTTCCTTATAAGGATTCTGTCCGACATTGGCTCTATTTGATTTAAGCTTTTATTTCTTAAGAAACCATTTGAGGCATTCCACGACTATCAACTTTTCATTTTTTTTATTAAGAAATGACAGTTCTTATGTCATGGCCAATGTCTTAATGATGACGATGATAACTCTTTTGATTGGAGATATGTGGAGACTCTTATTGGAGTTAGATGACTAATGTATTTTTCTTTTTGTATAATGATAAAAACCTCCATTTAAGCGACATTTAGAGGAGTTCTTTAGAGCTCTAGAAAGACTTGATAACCATGTACAAGTCTTTTGGAATTTCTTTTGGACCTGGAGCGGGCCGATAAAGACCAACTCGAGGTTTTCATAAATATTTTATACGTGTTCTCGAGGATTTTTTTTATGCCATCATACACATCTAGATTCTTCTTTCAAATGAAGAACTCTCTTAGGAGTTTGGCATTTAAAATGAGAGGGGCAAATGTGAGGTATAAAGCTTACGATTGATTTGAATTAGATAGTGGCTACGACTCTTTTACTTGCATGCCGGCATTTGGGTTCATAGCTTATCAAGAATGTTTGAAAGGAGGAAAAATTACCCTTATACTAGTCTCTATGTCTCTTCATGATAGTGTTATGCTTGCTTCTTGGCATTATAACGATATTCGGCTTTATCATCTTTCTTTCTTTTTCTTCGAGAGTCTTGGTTAATTATTTCTTTCCATGATGATGAGAGTGAATTTTTTAAGGTTTTGAGGAACGACATTGTTCCCTTCTCTTACCCTCCCTCATTGTATTTGGTAGCTTTTTCTTTGGGCGAGTGCTAGTTTGGTTTGTTTTGGTGAATGTGTGGTGGAACTTAAGGTGGGGTAAGAACCTTTAGAGGTGGTGTGCGTAGACGTGCTTATTGCAATTGAGTCATTGGCAATGAAGTGGTCGGACTTTATCTACTCTCGAGTTGATATGTACGCTTCTATTAGCAATTGAACATGTTGTTGTAATTACGACAGACCGATTGGCGAAACACTAGAATTGGCAAAGTCAAATGGAGTTTCCCGTTTATTATTTATGAAAAAGCTTAGAAATAAAGAGATATAACAATTTGGGGTTGGCTTTTTGCTCAATCTCCACGAGATGGTGCCACTAATAATGTTGTTGTCTTCAAATTAATATTGATAATTGGATGGCTTGTAATCCGGACATATTTTGTGGTTAATGTAGTTTATTTTATGTTGAATCAATTGAGTGTACTTACAAAATAAGTCCTCTTTTGATATTTAAAGGATCCTCCAATAAGATAATTTAGTATAAGAAGAGAGAGATTTGGCTCGAACAAGTTTAATAATATTTAGCTCTTAGTAGGAAAAGATATATAATATAATATTAGTTTTTAACTTAGAATGTAGAACCTATAACACTTCGTATATTAACTTTTATATATTTAAGAAGATGATCAACTTGCATAGAGTGGAGGATTTATTAGTCTCTTTTTTTGTATTCAATAGTTCCTAACATTCACTTGACGGTTTGATATTCTTTTAAGCCAATATTGTTTTCTAAGACACATGTGCAATCATATTTAATAATGCTATGACAAGGATATCTTAGAAGGTAACGTCTTTATTAAATGTATGTCTTTTTTATTTAAATAAAGAGGTGTTGTCTTCTTTATTCGAATCGTTTGCTCATATTGATCATACGAAGTCTCTTGATGGCCGGTCGAGATTGTCCCATTCATGAAATGGTTTTCAAAAAAAAAAAAAAAAAAGAAAAAAAAAAGAAGAGAAACAAGTGTTATGATCATAATCATATGAATATATCATGTTATGTTATAGTAAAAAATTGTTATATAACACATCAACTTTGCCTTATAGTTTAAGGATTTTCGATTTTAACCTTATAAGTTTTTTTTTTAATATAAAAATATATCCATATCATAGCTTCCAAATCATTATAATCTATACTCTCATCACTAACAAATTTAAAAAAAGAGCTCACTTAATCACTTTCTCTCATTTTTCTATAATCTTTTCCTCTCAAAACCTCTCATATGAGATAACTTGCCCACTAAGAATCATAAAAAAATGAAATAAAGTGAAAAAAAAAAAAAGGGTCTCCAGCGGTTGTCCTGGCAATTGTGAAAATTAAAAGAAACAAGTTACATGACACCACCGCATAACTGATATTGAAAAGATTAAACAGCAAGGATTGAATGTAACATTTAAGATACTCGGGGTACTAAAATGTAATTTATTGGAAAAAAGAAGAAGAAAGAATAAGAGTAATAAATAAACAACCGAGAAAGTTCAAATTATTAAAAAAAAAAAAAAAAGGAAAGAGTTCTCCGCAAAAGGAGACTTGTACCCAAAAAAAATTGCCTCGAAAGTGTCAATCTCCTAGAATACTAAATGGACAAAATTACAGGTAGCACAAAAGCATTGCACTACCGAACAAACTCCTGACTCTATCCAAACGCTGTCTGCTCTCCATAAATACGCACACAAAAACGTTAACAAATCTAACAGATGCTACATTTCTACTGAACTACTGTATCATGTTCGGTGGAGGTACAGGCATGGGCGGTGGAAGCGGAGGAGGCAGCATGTTAAGGGTGGTTGGTCGGGCAGTTGCTAGGGCTGGCGTTACTAATCTTCAAGAACCCATCTCGACAAACTCATCATCTTCTAACACTACTACCACCACTACTGTTACTTCACCGAGAGCAACCAGAAAGCTGAATTCTTCTAGTAATAATAATTTGAGTCTTTCTTCTTCTGGTTCTGCTTCTAGTGTTCCTATCTCTGCTAATTCTGTTGGATCCATTTCCACTTGCTGGCCTTCTTTTGCTGGTTCTTACGGTGATGATTATGAGTGGGTTTCTGTTGATGGAGATGAAGACGAGAGGCCTGTTGGGTTTAATGATGATTTTGTTTTGGGTCCTGTTCCTTCCATTGATGAAGTGCATGAAGCTATCACTGCCCTAACCCAGTGAGTTTCTTTTCTTTTCCTTTTTAAAATCTAATTTGTCTTTTTATTTCTTTTGGAGTTAGTTTAACTGTGTGGTTGCTGTTTTAGTATGGCTACTGTATGCTTGGTTAATTTAACTGAAGCAAAATATGATACTTTCCGTGATTTTAGTTTTTGTTATTCATCCATGCAATTTTTGATTTAGGATGTGCTAAATTAGAGGGAAGAAACTACTGATTTCTAGTTATTTTGATTGTACTATTTTTTTTTTTTTCAATTTCTGCTCATGTGGTGGCTGCACAAATCCAAACCGTGGGCTCATGTTTGCGGTTGACTCCACAGTGGGCCATGCACGGCCCGGATTTGTGCATTCATGATTTAGCAGTTCTAGGGGGAAAATGGTTGCATAATTTGTAGACTAGACCAATCAAAATTAATTAGCGCTGGCTACCGAATTAAGTGGATTGGTGCGGTCTCCATAGAATGATTTCTCGTTTTGTGGGGATGCAGTTACAATTTGTGTACTATGTATTTTGATAATTGATGTTTTTGAGGGTTAAACCAGTTACGATCAAGTTTTCTTATAGGAAGATAAATGGTTGGTGGTTATGTGGCATTTGTCATAGTGATGGTGACAGGTTTGACAAGTGCCCTGGCTTATCTCAACAAGCAAAGTTCCTTAAACAGGTGTAAGAGATCAAGCATGATTGTCTCAAATTTAATATTTTTTTCCTAAAACCATTCTTCTTATAATGGGAATGATGGTGATGGCGAAAATGATGTTTATGATTAAAAATTAAGATGACCCCCTAGATTACACCTTGTATTTCCCAGTCAGAGAGGTTTCTGAAAATCCAAGGAAGATTTGAAAGCAAACTAGGCCGATTTGAATTCCGTGGGGCATGTTTACAGAAATTATTTGCACATTTGTTGATCTTTTAAACCAAGCTGCCACGAGATGTGTTCATAACAGTGTTTCTATTATTTATTTCTCATCCTGTTTCATCTACTTAACTTGACCAGAGTTTCCCTGCAAGAAAAATAAGGTTCGGCTGCCATGTCTGCATGTGTTTTGTTTACTAGCTAAAGATAGAAATGAGAATTAGGAACACTAAGTGTGTCAAAATGCATAAACAAAAAGAAAGTAATAAAACAGTTCTTAAAGTATCGTGTGTTTTATGATGCTAAGAAAATTCCCTGCTGATGTGGTTTTATGATGCCAAATCAGAAGCAGCCTAATAAAGTTGTGACCCAGAACTTCCTTGTCCTAGTCCAACACCAAGGCAGCAGCCTGCAATCAGAAGTTACAGTATAGTGGAGCTTTAGAAGATTAAATCTTTAATATAGTAGAAAAACATATTTTTATATGTGGTGCTACTGCTCCTAAATGTTTTGTAAATGTTACCAGTTTGTGACTGCATGATACTGCTTCAGCCCTTGCTTTTCTTGGTTGAACTTTGGATGCCTTATTTTCAGCAACTCCCAAATCTATCTTTGTTTTTAATTTCATTTCACTTCCTTAATTGAGTTTCTGGTTCTAAAATAAACCTATTGTTTTTTCCACCATAGTCTTCTAATTGCTGTGAAATAGATGAGAATATCTTGTTTTATCACTTAAATGTTATCCCCCTTCTAAAGGGAGGGAAAAAATCGAACTTTAAATTTGTGCAAAATTGGTGTTTCCTTGATAGTTACAAATTGTACGTCTAAACTGTTTTTCGGCTTGTTATACTGCAGTGTATTTGATGCCCCCTCGTATCCCCAACTCATCAGAGATAAATTTGCATGCACTGTGGACAAGGATTTAGCTGATCAAATTTCAAGCCCAACCTTGCTGAACCAAATTTCTTCAGTTGGATCAGAGTTGGATTGGAAGGAGCCTTCTCCTGTTCTGCGTAATCCAAGAGCATTGCACTCTTATGGATCTCACAGGGTTCACGAAGCTTTCTGTTTGTTGCAGACGGAGCCATCTGTTCAGGTGCTTATTGTTGTTGACAATTATATATCAGAAGTTTACATGCATAAAACTTCCTTTTCGTAAGTAAAAATCAACTTTGTGCAATTTGTTCAAGCATGGTGCACAATAGATCCCCCTTGCTGGTACCAAGGAAAACAGAAACGTGGTTGCTCAATCTAAAAGAAACCCTTTCTTTTTTCCTTCTAAGAGAAGTAATGGAAAACGTGGCAGCATGTTGCTGTTTTTTAACCTTTGTTATAGTTTGATTGACTACATCTGTATTTTTTAAGGATGCAACCTGTCTGTGCAGAAAATGGTTGTCTCATTATCTTCCGATAAAGCTGTTTGGGATGCTGTTTTGAATAATGCTGTTGTTCGGGAGCTGCGGGAAACCTACTCTGCAGGTCAGTATGGGGTTTGGTAATATAGAACTTGTAAGGGGAAGTCGTGTCTTTCATAGTTGATAATATACGAAAGTATGCCAAAGAGTGTTTCATGCTTTAAAATAACACTTTAATTGTCATATATTCAATGTACTGGCTAACGGTATATGCATACTTGTTTTATGAAGCACTGTCCTGCATTGTGAAGTGACCCCTGATATGACTTCTGAATTTTCCATCACAGCCTTATGCTTTGGAGTAATTCATTTTCTTAATGGAACTTAAAAATAATTATAGGCAGCAGGTATGAGAAGTTCTACCTGCCATAAAATTATGTAAATTATATATAAAAGAAAAACCAACGCATAAAAATACGAATTCAACTTGGTCTATGTTTTTAGTTAATATTATTATTTTAGCTTCAAAAAATGGCTGGCAGTGACCTAACAAATTTAGGATTTCTGTCCAACGTATGTTAGATGTGCTGCTAGAAGTATGTCTTTGGAGGTTTAAGCACCTGCCTTAAATATATGATATGATCTGCAAGCACATCAAAGCCCGTCGCAGGCTCACTGGAAGAGTGCATCCAGATACATTTTTGCTACTTATCCATGTACAGCACGCAAAACAATTATGACTTTCTGATGGAGCCACGTTCAAGATTATTAGAAGTAATGCTCTTGTGTGTAATATTGTGTTTCAAATTGTAATTTCCATGATATCTGCAGATGAAATCACCGATCAACTGACATCTGAGAGCTCGGATGAGAGTAGTGAGGAATCCAGTCCAGCTTTGAATTTTGTGAAGTGGATATTTGATAACACAAAAACGAGAGCCATGGAAGTAATCGAGACAATAGCAAAGCTGGTGAACGAGCTGTTTAAGCCACCAGCTGATGAGAAGACAGCAGCAGGAGGCAAGGATCAATTTGTGGATATGCTGAGAAGCTCATTCCTGCTTTCCATAATGGTCCTGCTGATTGTGGTTGTGACTCGAGCCCAGAAGGCTTGACCCGTAATTTGACGACGTGACAGGTGGCATTCTCCCAGTGGTGACTTGTGCTATGGAAGGAACCACCGGGTTGCATAACTTGAGCCCTTTAGCTCAAGTTATAGTTGCGGACTTGGCAGTATATGGCCGTATGTAATGAAATTTACAGTCAGTTTGTTTGCCAAGAGAGTTACTCCTGGTAGACTTAAATTCTCTTGGCTGGATGTATGTATATAATTTGGATTTGTGAACGTTAAGCTGTTCTTGTGTAGGAACCCTAGCATGTCAACTGGGGTGGAGTTTCCAAATTCATGTTCCATCGAATCGATGGTTATGTTTTCGTTATTGGGTCTATAGAACACTAAGAAGTACAACAGAAAAATCATAAAATAAACACTAATTATTGTAAAATTTTGAAAAAATAAAAAATAATTAATCAATAAAAACATAGAAAAAGGAAAAGGAAAAAAAAAGGAACAAAGGAAGTTAGGTCAGGCTGCGTCCATGGGCCTTGAGGCACCAAGCTTGTAAGGCCCAGGAGTTTAAAGAAAAAAACAAATGAGGACTGCTTGCAACTTGCGGCGACCAATCGGTTGTTCAGAAAATAGCTTAAAAAATCAAAGGGTCGTTGGCTTTGGCTTTGGGTTTCCAAATCCAATTCTATAGTAATTTTACTTCCATACACCACAGAATCATCTAAAGACCCTTTTTCAACCTCAAAACATGTTTTAATCAATTCCAAAAGTTCAATAAAATTGATTCTCTATTTTCTCCCTATATTTAGCGATCTTATGTTAACACAAATAAAGTTTAGAGACCATTATATATAATTCTAGAACTTTAAGGACAAAAATAAATTCAAATTTATAAAAAAATCACTTTATTTTTTTAGCAAAGGATGTCGTTTTCAGCCAAAGCAGTTTAAAAAGATATCATTTTGTATCACCATAGCTACAATGCAACTCTTTCATTGTTTTATAGTTTTTCTCGTTGTAATGTCCATCAAGAGTCAGTTCTTCATGTTCTCAAATATTGTTTATATGCTAAATCCATTTAATTGGTGTGTAGTGCCTCTCAAATAATTCAGAACTTTTTTGATCCAGGCCTAAAAGATTGGTTTTGGACTAACCTAACAGTTGAGTAAAATGGTGTTAACAACTCTGTTTTATGAAATACTTGGTTAAGTTCTTGTTACTGGCTTATGTGGACTTGGCGAACTAAAAGTATTTTTGATGATGATTTTGTGTCACCCTCTAATCCAGTTGATGCAATTAATTCTTTGATTTCTCAAATTATTCATAGTGCTGAAATGGTTAGCCGGCTTACAAAGACTATTTGTATGAAACATAAAATTCTTAATAGATGACAGAAACCATAGGGTTGGATCAAATTAAATAAGAATAGAGTTTTCAAAAGTTATATTGGCATATCTACTAATGGTGGTATTTTTTGTGATGATTCAAACACTTAAATGCATGACTTTCTTAATATATTGGCGTATGTATAATTTTATATGTTGAATTTTGAGATGTTTTGGTCATATAGCTTAAAGATGGATTTCAATTAGCTATTCAGTTATCATCTTCTCAAAGTGATAGTTGCAAAAAATATAGATAGCTATTTTATACTATTTGTCATACCCTAAAATTTTACCTTTACGTATTATTTTAGTTTTCTTTATTTTATTTTTATTTAGGCTTGCTTTGTATAAAATCAAGCCAAAAAAAAAAAAAAACAAAAATATTTTCTTTTATTTACTTAGAATTCAGAACAAAATAACAAAAAAAAAAAAAAAAGAAGGTAAAAATATAAAAAATTGAAAAATACAAAAAAAAAAAAAAAAAAACAAGAAGAGATGGAGGGACAGCTTCCCCGCATCTCTTGTTCTTTTGCATCTTCGGTTAGTTTCTTGCCATTTTCACAAGTCGAATTGCAACTTGTTGTCCCTTATCCTCGTAATTCCCGCACGACCCTTCCGGACAACTTCCCCCATATCCAGCAATCTCCAGTGCAATCCCTCAATTTCTGCGACCTCACCATGTTGCAACCGACAAGAATCGCACAACCTTCCCCTATTACCGGCCACGCCACAACCATCCCCTACAACCCAAAATGGCCACACTCACCCACTCCATATCTTGCAAAAAAAAATCTCACACCATCATGGTGGAGAACCAAGCCACATTCACATATATATATACACGGACATACCGCAAAAAAAGAGAGGAGGGGATTCGATTCGAAAATTAGATAAGATTAGGCAATTCAGAAAATTCAAGAAAAAAGGAATAATAAAAAAAGAGAAGGCGAGTGAGTCCAAAAATTAAGAAGAAGGAAACCCGCAAATTAGAAAAGAGTAGCGATAAAAAAAAAGGGAAATCAACGAGTAAAGAAAAAAAAAGAGAGAGATTAAATTTACTCGAATTGAAGTTGCAATCCACATCCATTTCCACCAATTCTTTTAGGTAATTCCCTCGAATTTCTCTTTAATTTCATTTTTTACACAATTTAAGTTTGATTTAAAATTTGGGGATTTTTGAAATTGTGGAAAAATTGAAAAATAGATTTGGGGATTTTGTTAAAATTGAGTCCTAAAGGGTGTGAATTGACTTGATTTCAAGTCAATCAAGTCTAATTAAAAGAAAATTAAAGAAATTAAAAACCTAGGGTTTTGGTTAAAATTGGGGAAGAACATTGAGAAATTGATTTGGGGTTTTTGATTGAGCAAGGAAAAGAAGGAAAAAAGGGGAAAAGAAAGAAAGAAAAGGGAAAAATCAAGCGGCCATGGACGGACCTCCACTGGTTCATCCATGGCAAGCAGCAACGTTTTTTTTTAAAAAGGAGAGAGAACGGTAAAGAGGAAGAAGAAGAATAAGAAAGAGAGGAAGAAAAGAAGAAAGAGAAAGAAGAAAAAATGAGGGGGGGGGAAGGGATGAACCAATTAGAGGTTAGATTCGGTCAAGAGAGGGAAGAAGAAGAAGAAAGAAAAAGAAAGGAAAAAGAGAGAAGGAAAAAACGGGAAAGAGAGAAAGAGGAAGGAAAATGAAAAAATGGGTTTTGATCTAAAATTTTAAAAGCCTAGATTTGGGTTATGTTTTTAGGCCAAAAAAACTTAGTCTTTTATTTTAAGTGAGCCCAAACTCACTTGGGATAGAGGTTGGATTGTCCGGCCCGAAATGTTGCCTTTGGGTGGGGTGGACAGTCTGCCCAAACCTTAAAAAAAAAAAAAAAAAAAGAGTAATTTTTTTTTTTTATAAATATTGTTATTTCATATTAAAGTTAGCTATTGAATTCTTTTTAATTATTTTAATTAATGTAATTTTTAATCTGGAGTTTTATTTTATGCATGTTTGTTAATTTATGTTAACTTGGAATTTAATATTTTAATCATCTCGTCAATATTTTAATTAATGTGATTTTAAATTTTAACTTATGTTATGCATGCTCGTTGTTAATTTTAATTTTCAATATTTGAATTCTTTTATTTAATTCATGTAGCTTTAATTTATTTGTTTAGTAATTAGGTTCGGTAAGTAATAAGTAGAAGATTGTCAAGTCTTCTAAGTTTTTAGAGATCGATAACAATCTTTCATTAAAAAAAATAAAAATAAAAAAATAAAAAAAATAAAGAAAGAAAAATAAAAAAAATCATAAAACTTTTTAACAAAGTCTCCTATCCGATAGGGACTCGTTGTTAGTCAAAAATTTTATTTTAATAAACAAGTGTTCTTCGACACACCGGTTGCGTCGAGACTAAAAAATAATGGATCCGATGTTTGAACCGACGTGTCTCCCGACGGAAGGGGTCCGACGATCGTTTCAATACAATGTCACGCTCAAAAATAAAAAACTTAATTTGACCTGGAAAATTGGAGTCTCAAAAAATCAAAAAATAATTTGATGAAAATAAAATACTTTAGGAGATAATTTAGGACTAAGCTAGACGTGGTACCTTTCTTAGGAAAGGGCACTTTTGGGTGATTAATTATCTTCCCATAAACGTAACCAACTCATTACCATAGAATCTACGAACCGAGTGTCAATTTTAGGTTCCTAGTTCCTTCAATACTAGGTGATGACTCCAAACTCTGCAAATAGTTTTGTAAATAAAAATAAAATCGAAACGAGTGATATAAAAGATTTTTTTTTTTTCGGAGTCCCGTCCGAAGTCCGATAGCGACGGAATGACAACTCCACTCGGGGACTTAGAGTTAGGCCATAGGTTTAGTCCGTTAAGTTTATCTCATGTATTTATTTTTGTTAATTATTATTATTATTATTATTATTATTTCCAAGTAATTTGCTTTTTTTTTTTATTTAATTTTGAGTCATTTATTTTTTATGTATATTTTAAACCTTTTTCCTTTATGTAATTTATTTTTCTTGCATTCATGTACATATTTATTTTGTGAACTCGGGTTAGATATCTACATTGAACCATTGCATGCACCACGAAGTAACTCGTAAAAGCTCGGACCCGAGCTAAACCCCGTTATGATTAGATAGAGAGATTTAGAGGCAAGTGTGACGAAAGTCTACCGATGCTCTTCCGAATCCTCATTTGACCGAAACTCACCCTATGCATAGGAAATGGTGGAATAACCTTCTCCTACCTCCCGGTGCATAAGGTTAAAGGCTAAATTACCCCATCGGTAATTTAGACGAGTCCGAAAACTTGAAAAGGCTTCGGGATTAGATGAGCTTTTCCAAAACCATAAAAAAGCTAGATCCTGTCCATTAGGGTCGACTCGATTAAGATACGAATCATTTCCAAATGATATTTATTCTAACTCTCGACTCTTGCAGGATGTCGAACAAAGAAAGGTATCTAACCCGATTTAAAGCATGCATGTATGTATTTTATATTCATTGTACATATATTTCTTGAGTTTTTCGGGATTTTGAAACATAGGCTACTTCGTCAAAGGTCAATCCCCCCGCATATCCACAACATCGGATTTAGGGACCGTCGAATGGAGAACGAAGAGAGAGCACGACGGGACCAAATTCATCAACAAGAT